CAAATAAACAAACTTTTATTAATACCTAGCCTGGTTTCCTGTTACTTTGATTACCCTCATCCAGCAAGCATAACAAAATTTCAGTAGGTGCTTGAAAATGAGATTTGAATTTTACATCAGTTCTGTAAAAGAATAAATTAAGTGGGGCTGAGAAGCAGCCACTTTGCTGTAGAGGTTCCTTCACTTACATTAATATAGTCTAACATACATGTACACCAATGTACACTCTTAATCAAAGAGTAATTCATCAGAAACATGGAAAATATCTATGGTCCATAAATAATAATTATGTTAAAGTACACAAACCTCTCCAGATTTTGACTTTTCTTTACAAATTCTGTGAGAGGCTCAAATTGACCTGACGTCACTACAGCATGAATCAAGGTGGCATGAGCTGCTGTGTAAGTTCCGAGATAAGCCCAGCGTGATTCTGCATCATTAAACTGAATTTGGTCAGTTGCCTGGCTCGAAAATAGTTGTGACACTCTCAAAAGTTTGTCCCGCAGTGCAACCTTCCAAAAGTGTGGATCGGACTGCAAAAGCTTGAGCTCTAGCTTAGTTTTCTCCTCTAGCTGGTTAAATGAAGTCTTCAGGGCTTCAAGTACTTTGGTACAAAATGATTCTGCAAACAAATGGACCACTTTTTCAAAGTTGCATCATACAAACTGTATTCACTGAGTGTAAGTTGAAGAAGAAAAATGGTCAATTTTGTACTCTGTTGTCAATGCTTGAACTTAACTCTTGCCTACCCATGATCAGTCAACCCAGGTAACCTCCCACTCTAGGTGGAAGCCCCTGCTCTAGGCGGGGGTTCTGGGGGCTGCCAAGGCCCCTAGCAGGGTACAGGGGCAGTGCCCATTGGGAGTCCAGGGGGCAAAGCTCCCTGAAGCAAAACGAATGTAGGGTTCTTCCACTAGCTGAAAATTGCCTCTCCTTGAAGCAATTTTTATATGTTTGCACTATTCTAACTGGCAACAGTTACTATTCCTTTTACCACTCTAGAAGATTTAATGATTTTAGTGATTTTAATTTACTGAAATGTCACATTAACCAGACCACCAAAGATGTGTCACAACTGAGTTCAAGTTGTGAGAAAAGAAATTACTTTCATTTTTCACCCAAACACAAACAGCACAAATTTTTTTGCAAAATAAAAAAGTTTGGAGTACCAGTGCTTTCCCTCAACAGTGTAGAGTAAGTGTAGAATTGAAAGAGACTACTGGTTCCAATCAGGATTCTATCTTCTTTTGATTTTTTCTATAACTCAAAAATACCAAATGCTATCTTGCTATCAGTACAACCTGAAATCTTTATCGTGTTTTGATCGTGAGAAATTATTTGACATGATGTGTAGTTGCTTATCAAAATGGTGAATTGTAAAATTGTATTAAAGTGCAAATGACTCAGAAAGTGCTAGCTCAAGATTATTTCCCATTTAGTTTTCAAGTGAAACACCAAATTAGTATCAAGCAACAGCGGATTCAAGAAATTCATAAAACAAACTAATCTAAGTAGCACACAGAAAACAACAGGTAGCCATTTTGCGTCTAGTCATGTCGGTGGGCATTAGATTACATCCAGTGAAAATCATTGAGAAGTGTTCCGAAATACAAAACACTAAATTACTTCTGATTCTTGTTTTGTTGTGTTTTCTTTTCTTTATCATTACTCCACAATATGAGACACTTCATTCTTGGTTTCAATAGATTCAAAACCTTCCTTTTTACCTTCAGTTTTCTTTCTTTCTTTTTTCTTTTGGTTCTTTTTTTACTGACGAACTGTCGCCAGCGCAACTGGAAAAGTAGCTGGCAATATCACCGGTCGCCGGCGCTTTTTGACAACCCTGGTAAGGCGTTGACAAAACAAACTGAAATTGTTGTAAAATCTAAGTTCTCACTAGCCACTTGGCTCGTAAGTTGAAAAGTTAGTGTTGAGCCCTGACAGTTTAAATCCCTTTGTTAACATTACGAGCCTATACCTCTGCAGAAATGAAATGATACAAACTGCAAGCCCATTAAAAATGAGTGTTTTTGGGGAAGTTGGAAGGTCTAAAGATGGAAGTTCTTAAGAGAATAGACAAATTCCATCAAGTTTTAAATTAAGTTGGTCAGCTTGAGTCTTTTTGTCTTCCTTCAAGCCTTAAAATTATTTATGGTTGGCAGAAGAACTTGAGAGCAATTAACCTCTACAGAATGGCTTTGAAATGACTTCAAAAGAAAACAGATGATTGAGGAGATAACATCAAAACAAGGTATGTGTGTAAGCCATTTTATTTTAATTTCATTTAAAGGTATTTCTTCTTCACAAGATACTCTTGTTTAAAACGCAAATTCAAATGGTCCTTGCTAAAACTGCTCTTAAACTGCCTAGGCTGTTTGTGCTCATATTATGTTCAAATATTTTCTACAGTAACTGTTTCATGAGCCAAAGTATGGTGTCTGAAAACCACTGTCAACAAATTGTATCAATAATAGCTCAGAAGTTCAAAATTCCACAATTTTTGATAGTGTCACGTGAGAGTTGAGTTTTCACGTGCAGTATTGATCAGAAAGCTACTATAGAATCTTACAAAACATGCATCACTGAAGATTTTTCATCAAATACATGTACATTGAATATTGAACGATGATGTAATTTTTAATGTAGAAGGTCTGCTTCTACTGACATCAAACTGCAAATTTGATGGAAGTTTCCTCACCGGAAACAATTGGTTTCCGCTGTGATCGCAAACAACAGGTAATCTTCGTGTTACATGTATAATTATTTCAGTCCAATTAATAAAGAGAAATGTGCCCTATTAATCAATAAAACAGGCTCCGGTTAGATAAGCTCAACAAATTTTCAGAGGCTGGAAATACCTGCATCAGTAATGCTTAATAGAATAGTAAATATTGACCAATTGCACGATCAACTTAAAATATTTTCATCACTACACAAGCCCTTATCATAAAATGAGTGTGATGTTGTTTCTGTTTGGATGAAAAAAATATGGAGCGATTTATTTTAAGGAAACGTGAATTCAGATCATATAAGTTAAATGAGGGGCAAGTCTAGGGGGTGAATACAATTTTTGGAGGGAAACACCTGCAATCTATACGGCGCCTCTTACCTTCTAAACCAGTGCTAAGGCTCTTTCCTCTGTGTTGTCCACTTTCGATCGGAGCGTTTAGAAGTGCAGTGTTTTGTTTAGTTCTCAAATGGCCTTCGTCGCTCGTAGTATACGACGATTTACCATCAGAGAATCCTTTCGAAACAACAGACGCGTATGTTGCTCCCTGTTGCGCGAGTGTCTCCTCAAACCGTTCTTTGCCACCTGTCCTTGACGGTTGGATGTCATCACCAAGAACAGGTTCTTGTTGAAGTTTTTCTTCGTATCGATCTCGAACTTTCCTCTTATATTGCACGATATCTCGCCGGAGTTGGCACTCGAAGCAATCTTTTAATGTTTCGTGCGGTTGGTGTTTTCTCCAATTGATAAACGACGGTAAATATTTAAAATGGCGACAAACCGAGCACTGGCGAATGATCACACTGGAATGATAGCCGGTCTGAAATAATGCAAGCGCCTCGAGAGTTGCAGCACAATCGATACAATTCCGATTTTTCTTGTCGGTAAACCACTCCGCAATTTTGAACATGCACAGAGGCGCTTTCTTGGCACAGCTATGACACTCTTGTAGACGATCGTAGACGCAATCACAACACACTAGGAAAGCGTTTTCTTTCAGAAACTTGTCGTGTCCTTGTTCTTCACTTTCTGAGTCTGCTTTCTCAGCAAATGACGGATGAATTTTAGTAATATTGAAAAATTCCTCGTGCCTTCTACCAGTGTGGTCGCAATTGAAACAGCGCAAGACTTCCATCCGAGAACTCATAAGATCTGCTGAAAGAAATCTGAAGTAAACACGACAAGACGATGGATTCCTGTTACGTTGAAAAATCCACAAATGTTGAAAGTTCTTGGAGAAAGGAACACACAGACCACAGTGCTTTGTGAGCTTTATAAACAGTCCCAGTCCTTTGCCGGCTGCCGATGGGTGGCCTAATAAATAAATCAGAAAGTGGCCCGATGTGGGCAGAGTCCAAACTCCACTCTCCTCCAATCGCCGTGTCGTTCAAGGAATCGTACGATACTTTTGTTGCGTCATTTTTTCCCCAAAAAATAGTAATAACTCTAAGTCAAATAGAGTGGTTTTTTTTCCAACAACAACAACAACAAGAACATCTTTATTTCTACTCACAATTTAACTTATAAATGAAGAATACCTGCAAAATAGCGAAGCTAATCGAGGCAGGTAGTATGAGAAACGTGTCCATTACATTTTAATATAATATTATTCTAATGACAAAAAATAAATAAATAAAATTACAAAGGTACAGATGTCAATTACAAAAGTGATTACAAAATATGGATATCATTACGAAGCCATATGCACATAATAAAAAACAGGAAAAGCTCTAAATACTCTTTATTTTAACGAAATCTAGTTTCTTGTCATTTCGTTTATTAATGTATCAATATCAGGATAAGAATCCTGGTTTAGAAGGATTTGAAATAAAGTAGTGTGTTTTTATTTCCATGAACGATACAGTGAGTTCGAGTTGACATATTTTTAAGCACTTGAGTGCAACAGCAGTTTGCTATCCTACAATCAATCTGAAACGCGCGAGGAATAACAGCTTCAGCGTGAATTGAAAGTATAGGATTGAATGGGTTTGCATGAATCTAACCTTCAATGCATAAGAATTGAGAGCTGTGAAGTTTGAATCATGCTTGAATCATGTTTAAACGTTATTTCAGTCTTACCGTATTTACTCGAATAAGCGCCGCCCTCGATTAAGCGCCACCCTCGAATAAGCGCTGCATCTGGGACAAAAAAAGTTAATAAGCGCCGCCCTCGAATAAGCGCCGAACCCCCGATGCGGCGCTTATTCGAGGAATTCCAAATAACCAAGAAAAACACCATAAAACAATTTTAACACAACATCGGCAATTTATATTCTTTAAATGTGATGTTCTTTAGTTCAAAGTGACTTTATTTCTTTGCTCGGGTTATCATGAAACGCTCGGGGTTTTTTCACCGCGTGAATTCCTCTCGTAATTCTAGATTTACTATCAGTTTAGCATCAGTCCATATGAAAATTGACAGATAGGTGTACCGTTGAATAAAAATATAGAAAAAGTAAATTTGTCTGGTACAATTTTTAAATAAGCGCCGCCTTCGAATAAGCGCCACATTTGCCCAGGCCCCGCCGGACCAACACTCAAGGTCTTAAAATAAATGAGGAGAATATGCTACCTTTCTATAACATCAAGAAATGGTTAGATATCCTAGTCTTCTCGGATAGGGACGAATAAATGGAGGTCCCGTCTCCTGCAGGGTTAGGGGTAGGAGACCTTAATTTCCCACGCACGAGAATTCTGTGTGTTGGATGTCCTTCCCTGGGGTAGGATGGGTGGGTTTACTGGGCCCGCAGTAATTGGCGCAAGCTGTTGCGGTGTCCCTGCCTGTCGGAGAATCTAATAAAGTAAAATGAAATAAAAAAAATAAAACGCTGTGGCAGATTTTCTCAGCGTTTTAACCGGATTTTGAACTGCCATTTACTCAATTCTTTCTTTTTTTTCTGAGAGCAAACGGCGAGGCTACATTTCGCTATAAAACTGTGATTTTGTAAGGACGGCCTTCTTCGTTGTTGATATCTTACTTAGTATACTGCACTACAATGCTGTGTCTAGCTTTCTTTCTGCATGTAGGTGGTTTCCCATGCCTTACTCCGAATAACAGAGACTTGAATGATTACCCCCAAAGGGCCACTGTTGAGGTAATTCTTGCTTATTTATGACACTGGAAGAATAAGTCCTGTACAAAGTACCAGTCAAACATCCATATCACAAAAGTATTCATGATGCATTTTTTTTTAAATTGAAGTGGTCATATGCAAGATGAACGCTTATGCTAGATAGGTCCTGAATTTCATCTTGCAATTGAGGTCCTCAGTTGAGAATGTTTAACTAAAATTTACCATCATTTTTATTGCTGAGAATAAGAAAGAGAGCTTTTGATTTATTAGAAGTTCTTAACATATTGAATTCACCTTCAAATCAATCTGAAACAGTCTTCTCGTTTGGCAGGGTGGGCGTAGTCCAAGGTCCTCTAGGACTTTCTCTGTGCAAATTTCTTTGCCTCATAGGCGTGGTCCATTCTCAAATAAATGTTTTCTCGTTTTCCTTCCACTTCATACCGAGTGAATTTTAAATTGCAGCAATCAAGCGCGGCTGAAACACTTGAATGCTATCTTGTGCATGTACGTGTGAATGGCTAATTTTACCCTCAAAAAATGTAAAGAGGATTGGCGACTGTGCATCGTCGAAATAATTGTGAACAGTTCTGCTAACTGTAAAAATGAACTAGAGAAATTTTCGATTGGGTGTCGAAAGTGATACGGGATTAGTTTGTTTTCGCAATACTTGGCCCTGTGATCGTTCTGGAAAAATTGAGCTATTCTCTGAATCAGTGGCAAAAGTTGTTTACAAGCGTTTCCCCTAACTCTTGGTAGATTATCTGTTTTGCCTTGATTTCTCAGCGACTGAATGGTGGTGTTAACCTTTGAGTTATGATTTGCCATTGTGGTTGCTTGGTTTTGGTTTATCAAGGGTCAATCGAAAACTGCCTTAAATATTCAATTTTAAATCAATCCAGCGTAGTATAGACAGGGCCTAAATCATCGACTTACCCACACCAGTTTCTGTATTAGGGAAAAGAGTTAATGTGAGCCTTGAAGAAAAATCAAGTGTTCAGTTTTCTAACTTTTCATAACGTTTTTTTATTCAACCTCTAACTTAATCAAACGTCTTCAATATGAAGCTAATATATTCGTTGAAATCTAGCCCGGTGTGAAATTTATTAGATTAATTGTGATTTACTCACATACAATACAATTACACAGTAATACTTTAAGTTGTCTAAAATACGCGTGCATTTTCACTGTAACCTTGCATATGTACTTCCCTAAATACAACTTTATTGCGACGACAAAATATCGAGTAACACTTTATTTCTACACTTTAAATGTACCTCAAACCGCACACTCGGCAACTACATTCTGTGATGATTTTAACATTTTTGACAACTTTCTTAATTTTCCTGGTTGGACAGTTCAACACAACCTTTAACGTTGTAGAATTGACAGGCGTACAGAACGAACACGATTCGAAAGCACTTTTACGAAGTGGGATGAAGAACGATCGGCACTGTCCGAAGCACATGTTGTTTTCAATCTTTTTTGTCTCACAACCGCGCTTGCGAATCGTTTGTGGTAACGGCCTCATTTTACACCATTCTTGGCCAATTTCTTGAGGTGAGAGTGGAACGGCGGTGCCGCCTTTGGATGCGGTTAATCCGTGCCCTCCCGAGGCTTCAGCAGTTGTAACCTTTGAGATCACTAAAATGAGACCGAGTACAGCTGCAGGAAACAATCCTCTTTCGGAAATTCGCATGCTGAAAAAGGACAAAATATCAAGCTCATTTTTCAATTTGGAGTTACGAAGCGTAATGAATTCAGAGGGTACTAGAAACTCTTTAAAGTTATGGGGAGGTTTGAGATATGGCATGCAGCACATGATGAACTGAAATCAGGTGCGACTGCTTCCATTGTTATGCGGCAGGAGAAGTGAAAGCATAGTAATCAAAGCTACTTCTTTTGGAAGAGTTTACAAAAAGCTGAGAGCAACTAAAGAAATTATCGGAAGATCAGAGGTTCGATATCCTATTGGGCGCCTTTGGAATTTTTTCTTACGACTTGAACGTTTTGGGCAAGAGAACAAAATTAGTTAAAGTTGGGTTTTTGTGTCTGGCAGAGAAAACTCATAAAAAATCATAATCTCTCTTACTATTATTATCATGATATTTATCATTGATTCGGCATATTTTACGCGAGGCACCACCTATGACGTTGCTGTAAGTAAAGGTAGAGCATCTGAACTTAAAGGTTACTGGTTCGCCTTTTTTGTCTCGCTGGGGTAGTTCAGTGTATTTGTTTCATAATGCTGTGTCATTGAATAAAAACCATTTGCTCATTTCACCAAGTAACCTCTCATAGCACTTAAAACCCGCCATAGTCAGATATTTCGCCAAGACAGATAACATGGGAGCAAAAGAAGTTTAGTCAAAGCATTCGGGAAGACTTCGTGTAGAATTTTGAAGTAAACAGAAACTACAGGGATCGTGCTCCTTCTCGAAAGTCATTGTATTATTGATCGCCGCAATCGCCCGAGACCCTGAATATCATTTCGCAACGAGGCCAAGTTCTTTTAGCGGGTCGATAGGAAGCATCTCGATCGCAAAACGATTCTTGATCGTTACATGACCCTTCTCTAAAACGATCAAGATTCGGTCAAAGTTAAACGTGGACATGAAAATGAAAAATTGGTTTTAAAGTAATAGAGTCCATCGATTGTGCATTTTCTAGTTAGTTTAATTTTCTAATCTTTACCACTACTCAATTTCTTTGTAGAATGGCGTGAGCTGCGCTTTATGACCGCATCCGGCGAAGAAAAGATACGCCACCGCAGTTATGAAAGATGTTTTCTGGTATGGAGAGATAATAGGAGAGGCCGTTTGTGTCTTTAAACTTGTTCATAAAAGAGGAAGTTATGAAATCAATTGTTGCAGAAAGTTGAATTATACCACTGAGGAGCCAGCCAAACTGCGCCACTGATTTGCAGAAAACACGTTTGTTAAATTGAGGCACCCCATCTGGATTCGTGAGTAACGAGCCAATTAAAAAGAAAAACTTATTCCAAACGGACACAGAAATTCTTTTAGCCACGGGCAAAATAGCTAACTTTAAAAAAAAGAGAGAAAAAAAAACACTTTCTCAGACTTTCATTGGCTGTTCAAGCTCTGTAAACTACGCCACATTTTCTGCTATCGTTCATGAATATTACAGTCGGGTCAAATGTTATCAA